AAAATATCTCTTAACTGAATGCACTGTAGTACTTTGCCAGACTACACAGAGATGGAGCGCCCATTGACTGTGGGGCCAATCCTCACGACGAGGTATTGTTGTTGTTGTTAAAGGAAATATTCACAATTGTTGGCTCTTGAACTAGGGCTCCGCGAAGGCTGGGATAGGAGAATTTTGGTATAAACCTGTCGTTTTTTAATTATTTTTAATTATTTTTCTTACTAGCTACGGTCATCTCCTGCGCCTGCTTCGCAGCCGCAGCATCTGTCCGGATTTTTTCTTAAAAGCTGTAGATGCAAGGTATCAACCGGCAATGCTTTACGAAATTAAAAATGCAAATCTTGGTTGAGATCTGTTTTGCAGCTTGTAGAAAATGCAAACTAGTGCTATTGTACAGTCCAAGCGTTCTCTTTACCCTGCTCAATATATGCACTGATTCATACCGGTGTCGTCGGTAGCACACCGGTTCAATCTGCCCACGCATATAAACCTTTTGGAGGGCCCAGTGCGGCACCAGAGCCGTACCGGTTTCAAGAAATATACCAGTTAGATGTCAAGAGGGGTCATCGTTTGACTTGACGTACCACGGATAAAATCCTATTTGGTCTGCGATAGCAGCACTAACGTTGCTTCCTATCCCAGTAATATAAATATCATTTATGAGAACGAAGTATTACCGATGTATTTACAATATTAAGCCTCTGACCGGGGAGATATTCCCAGTATTAAAATACTGGGAATATTAAAATATCACCGATTTCGGGGTTAAAGGGCCCGGGGGGCCCTTCAACTTCAAAAGTCGTGATATGAAAGAGCCCCGAATCGGGCTCCCCTCGCATAGGTACGACAACGAGGAGCCCGCCTTCCTGCAGGGCTCCCCGCTTGGGCTCTTCGATGCTGTCGTTGTAGTTTGGCGGGCTCTTGACGCGCTGTCCTGATTAGTTTACGCTATCTAGGTTTATTCCTTGGGACCCGGTTGAGCTAGATCCGGGAAAATCCTCCAGAAGATCGCGATCCTCGATGCCCTTCGCGCTCGAGCGTAGCTGCGCCATGCTCATGTGACCTGCACTGAAGAGATAGGAGCGAAGAACGTGGCGGCGACAATGTACAGCATGCTTCCTAAAGTCGAAGTTTGGACCTGAAGACCGCACACTACAGCCAATCGGTAGTAAGATATATTACTGGGATAGGAAGCAACGTTAGTGCTGCTATCGCAGACCAAATAGGATTATATCGTGGTACGTCAAGTCAAAATATTGACACCCAACTGGCACATTTCCAGAAACCGGTATGACCCCGGTGCCGCACTGGGCCCTCCAAAAGGTTTATATGCGTGGACAGTTTGAAACGGTATGGGTCAGTAGCATATACTGAACCGGATGGAGTGATGTAAGGTGAATGATTGAATTGAACGGACTACTACAGGACTGTAGCATATTTCTCTACGAGCTAGATCTCGAGCGAGGTTCGTTTCATTACTGTGTATAATTACTGCCTAGTCGTATCTTGCATCTTCGCCGTTGAGGTGAATGACCGGGCAGATGCTGCGGCTGTGAAGCAGGCGCAGGAGATGACTGTGGATCGTAAAAAAAAGTAATAAAGGAGTTATCCCAAAAGCCTCCTATCCCAGCCTTCGCGGAGCCCTAGTTAACCTGTAGGGGGGGGGCTCTTAACGAGGGCTCTCACAGTTTTGAAGGGCTCCTTTCACTTAACCTATTTAACACACGAGCCCAGAACTTTTTGATTGGCCAAAATTTAGCTCCAAGTTCAGCTGCAAAAGAACTTTGAAAACACGGCTGCTGCTACCTTGAAGTTGGGGACAAAAATAGGACGAAACGACGCAGTGCACGTTATTGTAATCGCCTCAAGGTCAAGGTCCAGACTCTTGGAGGAATAGGATAGCTCTGGTAGGAATAAAAGGATGGAGACAGGACGAGGCACTTCGAGCCCCTCCTCTGCTGACTCGAGTGCTCTGCCGCCTATCTCTGCTGCTCCTCCAGCGCGTCTCCCTTCAGCCAAATCCCACCGACCTCCCAGCAAGCAGTGCCTTCGAGGTGGCAGCATGAACTCTTCAAGGCCAAGCAGTCCGCCAGCGAGTGTTGAAGACGAATTATTGCCCGAAGCGACGCAGTGCAGACGGAGACTGTGATAGAGCCAACTGGCAATGGAGACGCGCTGTCCGTCTCCCAGCAGGAGAAGATGCAGGTCTTCGCGACGTCTCCCGACCTCGAATTGCTCTGCAGGGAGAACGGTATCACAGCCGCTCAATTTGCGCGGAATAGCGAGGCAGTGACGAGTTTGGACTTGTTTCTGGGCTTTTGGACGTCCATGAGGAGCGTCGCGTACTTCCCAGCGCTGAGGGAGCTCTCGGTCATCAACCAGCCGACGATCTGCGAACTCGATGGCGTCAGCAACTGCATCAACCTGGAGAAATTGTGCATTACCGAGTGTGGGCTCACAAAGATCGCTAACCTGGGGAACTGAACCAAACTGAAGCAGCTAAATCTGAGCTCGAACAAGATCCGACGACTTGAAAACTTGGACGCGCTGGTGAAGTTGGAGAAGTTGTGGGTGAACCTGAACCAATTGGAAAGGCTTGACGGACTCTGGAGACTCACGAAGTTGACGCAGCTCTGGGCGTGTCGTAACCGTATTGACCGCATTGACACGGCGCTCAATGGCTGCGTGAATCTCACGGAACTGAACTTGGCGGACAACCGGCTGTCGAGCTTTAAAGGACTGTTGTCCCTCATGAACTTGGACCAACTTGCTGTTCTTGTATTGAGTGACCCTCATTTCGGCGACAATCCCGTGTGTAGACTGTGTAATTACCAGACATATTTGATGTGTCAACTTCCCCGTTTGAGTTTCCTGGATACCGTGGAGCTGTCTGCGCGCAACAAACACATAGCGGAGGCCACTATGATCAAGAAGAAAATGTACTACATATAACATGCGGATTAAGGCGATAAAGCGCGATGTGCACGGAAGGATTCGCCATGCCGAGACGATCCGCAACCAGGCTGAGCATCACATGGAAACGAGCGTGTCGGCT